AAAAATGGGAGAAACCTCAGGGAGAGCAACAGAGGAGGGATCCCTCTCCCAGGACGGACAGACGTGCAATAGATGCCGTGTGTAAATTGAAAAGATAATACATTTGCAACATAGGTAGTCCAAATGTTTGGAAATGCATGTGTGTATAATAGGAAGATGAATCCACGAGGATATCCATCCAGGACCTATGATCCAGGACCACAGCCACGACTCAAGATCCAGGGCTCGCGATCCAGGACAGAGGAGCGCAGGATCATCCATGACTCCGGATCCCGGCGTATATAGACACCAAAAAGAAAGACATTTGGGGAAGCTGGGTTAATCGGAACATGAGAGCACACAGGTATAGACAGAGAGAAGGAAGAAGTAAGATGTCCCCCGACAAACTAAGCCTATATCAGCAAAACTAGGGGCTGGATCTAATCAGCCCTAACTATAAGCTTTATCAAAAAGGAAGGTCTTAAGCGCACTCTTAAAAACGGATAGGGTGTCTGCCGCCCGAACACAAACTGGAAGCTGATTCCACAAATGTGGAGCTTGATAAGAAAAGGCTCTGGCTCCCATTGTACTTTTAGAGACTCTAGGAACAACCAACAACCCTGCATTCTTGGAACGCAATGCCCTAGTAGGACAGTAGGGTATAATGAGTTCTTTGAGGTAAGATGGCGCCTGCCCATTAAGGGCTTTGTAGGCGAGAAGAAGAATTTAAAATTCTATCCTGTGTTCTATAGGGAGCCAGTGTAAGGCAGCCAGAACAGGAGTAATGTGGTCCCTTTTCCTAACTCTGGTTAGTACACGAGCCGCAGCATTTTGAATCAGCTGAAGCGACTTGACTGACTTCTTGGTACACCCTGATAATAAAGAGTTACAATAATCCAGCCTTGAAGTAACAAATGCATGGACTAGTTTCTCTGCATCGTTTTGAGGCAAGATATGCCTGATTTTTGCAATGTTACGTAGATGGAAGTAGGCGGTCCTTGAAATTGATTTTATGTGGGCGTTAAAGGATAAATCCTGATCAAATATAACACCAAGATTCCTTACAGTCTCACTGGAGGCCAAATTAATGCCATCCATAGTTAGTATATCCTTAGATAATTTGTTTCGTAGATTCTTCGGGCCAAGTACAATAACTTCAGTTTTGGTCGTGTTTAACATCAAAAAGTTTAAGGTCATCCACGTTTTTAAGTCCTTAAGGCAGTCTTGAATTTTATTTAGATGATTAATTTCATCAGGCTTGATTGATAAATATAGTTGAGTATCATCCGCATAACAATGAAAGTTTACAGAATGATTCCTTATAATATTGCCTAACGGAAGCATATATAATGTGAACAAAATAGGTCCGAGCACTGAGCCCTGTGGCACTCCATGGCTAACTTTGGTTTGCGTGGAAGATTCATCATTGACACGTACAAACTGAGAGCGTTCAGATAGATAGGACCTAAACCAGTCTAAAGCAGTTCCCTGTATGCCAACTAAGTGCTCTAGTCTTTGCAATAAGATATCATGGTCGATAGTATCAAATGCAGCACTGAGATCGAGCAAAACAAGAATAGAGACACGTCCCTTGTCAGAGGCTATTAGAATGTCATTTGTGACTTTAACCAGAGCTGTCTCTGTGCTATGATGTGTTCTAAAGCCAGACTGAAAAGCTTCAAATAAATCATTGTTTTTTAAGTAATCACACAACTGTTTTGCGACCGCTTTCTCAAGAATCTTTGAGAGGAACGGAAGATTAGAAATAGGTCTATAGTTGGCTAAAACCTCTGGATCGAGGTTGTGCTTTTTAAGAAGCGGTTTTATCACTGCTACTTTGAATGATTGTGGAACATAGCCTGATAATAAAGACATATTCATAATATTTAATAAATAAGTGCTAATTAATGGAAAAACTTCCTTCAACAGCTTAGTTGGAATTGGGTCTAACATGCACGTTGATGGTTTAGAAGAGAGAATCATTGAATTTAATTGTTCAAGGTTTATGGCTGAAAAGCATTCTAGTTTACTATCTAGTGTAATATTAGAACTTACGTTTCCGGGAGCTGTTGATAACACTATACTGGTCAAAGGCAAGAGGTCATTAATTTTGTTTCTAAGAGTAACAATTTTATCGTTAAAAAAGCACATAAAATCATTACTACTGAGTGCTATGGGAATAGAAGGCTCAATCGAGCTGTGGCTTTCTGTCAGCCTGGCTACAGTGCTGAAAAGAAATCTTGCATTATTCTTATTCTCATCTATTAATGAAGAGTAGTAAGCTGCTCTCGCTTTACGCAATGCTTTCTTATATTCATTGAGAGTAATATGCCAAATTAAACGAGATTCTTCAAGTTTAGTAGAACGCCATATCCTTTCAAGTTGTCTCGACTTTTGCTTTATTTTGCGGGTTTCGGCATTATGCCATGGAGCTAGTCTATGTTGTTTTATTTTCTTCTTTTTCAAAGGAGCAACAGAGTCTAATTTTATTCGCAGCGCATCTGTAGCACTATCAACAACATGATCAATTTGGGGTGGTGTACATTTTGTATAAGTTTCCTCCCTTACATGCAGACATGCTATCGAGTTAAGTATTGGTGGAATCTCTTCCTTAAATTTGGCTATAGCACTAACAGATAGGTTTCTGCTGCAGGAGCTTTTGACTAATGCTTTGTAGTCTCGTAACAGTACTTCAAAAGTTACTAAGAAATGGTCGGATAAAGCAGGATTATGCGGTTCGACTAATAGTTGCTCAATTTCAATACCATAAGTCAGAACAAGGTCGAGAGTGTGATTATAGCAGTGGGTTGGTTTATTTACACTCTGACAAAAACCAACAGAATCTAATATAGAGTTAAATGCAACAGTAAGGCTATTTTTATCATCGTCAACATGAATATTAAAGTCACCTACGATAATTACTTTATCTGTTTTAAGAACCAAAGTTGATAAAAACTCAGAGAATTCAGATAAGAATTCTGAATAAGGACCTGGTGCACGGTACACTGTAACAAATAAGATTGGCTGCAAAGTTTTCCAGGTCGGATGCGTAAGACTAAAAACGAGACTTTCAAAGGAGGTATAATTTAATTTTGGTTTAGTATTGATAAGTAAACTTGAGTCAAAGATGGCTGCAACTCCACCTCCTCGGCCCGTGCCTCGGGTAATATGAGTATTGATATGGCTGGGTGGAGTGGCCTCATTTATGCTGACATATTCTTCATGTCTCAACCAAGTTTCAGTGAGACAGCATATATCAATATTATAATCTGATATTAAATCATTTACCAATATTGCTTTAGATGCTAGAGATCTTATGTTTAAGAGACCACATTTAATATTCCTGTTTTGTTGCACTGTAGTAGTTGTTACATTTACTTTGATTAGGTTATTATGTATGACACCTCTATTAGGTTTTACCTTAACTTGTCCTTGGGCAGACACACACACCGCTAATATTGGGTATTTTATTGGGTTCGGGATTCCTATGGATGACTGCCTAGGAGAGAGCGCAGAGAAGCGTGTAAGACTGCGACTCCGCCTCCTGGTCTCAACTCCAGTTTGTCATGGATTAAGTCCACAAAGCCCTGAAATGTTTGCCGAAATGAGATCGGCACCTTCCAAAGTAGGATGAATGCCGTCTCTCTTAATCAGACCAGGTTTTCCCCAGAAGGCTGTCCAATTATTTACGAAGCCCACATTGTTTGCTGGGCACCACCAAGACAACCAGCGCTGAAATGATGACATGCGGCTATACATGTCATCATTGATCAGATTGTTGGATGAACGTTCCACTTCCTGCGCTGCGCTGCGCTGCGCTGCGCTGCGCTGCGCTGCGCTGCGCTGCTTCAAAAATAGGATTCATCCTATATTTTAGAAATTCCTTGCGGCGAGGAGCTTCTGGGACGCTTCGAGCCGCGGCGCAGCGGGTCTGGTGGAATAGCACCCATTGACTAGAGTGGCCGCGATCGCTAAAAACGCCGCAGCCGCAGCGCAACGCAGCGCAGACGCTCCTGGTGGGATTAGGGGGTAGACCTAACACACTTAGCTAGTTTATCTACTCTGGAACTAGCTAAACTAGTTAAGAATATATTTATTCTTTACTGTCGGGTCACTTATTACAGGTTCAGCGAGCTGCACGAGACTGACGGGCTGTCAGGAGAGAGAGAGGAAAAGAGAGCACCCCGTTTATTTTCCCATTTTATTATCCAGAGTTTCTGTAAACCTTTGAATAAAGTAGTTCATCTACTATTAGTAGTTTGTTTAAATGCATTAATTATGTTTTTTTTTTTCATTAGCATAAAATAAATCTCACGTACCCCCTGCAGTACTCCAACGTACCCCTAGGGGTCCGCGTACCCCCATTTGAGAACCACTGTGGTAGAGGGTCGCTGTTTTGATATTCCGCTGAAGTATACGCTGTGACGTAATATCTCTTCTTTTTTTTTAGGGAAGGGGGGGGGGGGGGGTCAGAGGGCCTAGGTATAAAAGTCACCGCTCGCCACTGGTCTGAACTAATCATTTGAAAAAGTGGGGGGGACTTGTTCCACCCTCATATAATGGCTGCGACGCCCATGATTATTACACTCCAAACTAGTTAAAACCTCGAACTACAGAAGAGTTCTTCAGAATTGGTTTGGCAACCGCTGTGTCAACTTGTGACACACAACCTGTCTTGTAAATTCTCCGGCCGTAACTCATTTAATTGCATCGTTTATTTAGCAGGGACAATGCACATTAAGGAACACTTAAAACAAAAAAAATGCAAATAGAGTTAACCCTAACTATAACTTCATTTTAAAATGCAATGCATTTCACAATGCACACACCCACGCTTTCTGGACAAACAAACCTGGATCCTACAAATGTTAAATAATTATGTTGAAAGGATAACAATAAAGAAGCCAGAGAATTAGTTTACTTTCAAACATGTTTCTTTATTTTGCTTCAAAGAAGCTGAACTTTCAGTCTTTATCAGACTTATTATGTCCCACTGGGACAACATCTACAAGATATGCAACATCAATAAATATAAAGTTCACCTCATCCACTCAATAACGCAGTGAGCATTCAAAATATTCATAAACTCAAATGTTTCACATGCAAAACAAACCCAATAAATAGATAGTTATAAATATTATTATTTAAATTATTAAATTGCAAAACTATACAATAGCAAACAAATGTGATGACAAGCCCATCAATATGAAAATAAGTACATTATGTAGTATATTTTATTTACATAAGCTGCACTAGGCAGAGCTTTAAACAAGTCAGGATCAAATCTAATAGACCTACAGAAAACATTTTAGATGCATCATATGTCAGACATAATGACAATAAATATACCTATACGTACAGGCGGGTGTGACTTTTGATTTTTGAAGCCTCAGCAGTGATTGGTCAGAGAGCCGCTGGAGATGTTCCCTCTCATCACCCTGAGTCTGACCCTCTATAACTGGTTGCATTTTAAAACAAACACAACATGCACTGTGGTGTCGGCTGCTCTGCTAGATCCCTAGGGGGTGCTGTTGGCTCTGGTGCAGGTGCAGCCCACAGCCACCTCCACTCTGACAGGCTTCAAGCGGTACTTCTCCTTGTCCCTGCAGAGCTCCTTCTTCAGAAACACCATGCTCTGTACTACAAGTGCTGAGTTGTAGTCGTGGCTCTCCACCAACTTTGAGTTCTGGATCAGCACACATCCAGTGCACAGACACAGAGCCCTGGTATAGGTGGAGGGAAAGTGATCTTCCATCGTTTCACGCCTGGGAAGAAACAAGATGAGTCAGTGAGACGGTGAGGAGAGGTGACAGAGAAATGTTACACCCCATAATGTTTATTCAGAGAGACAGTGGTGTCATCTGGAGGGCACTCCTCTTTATCTTGGCCTGAGTCCAGACTCATCTGTGAATCTTGTTTCAGTCATTGTGTGCACAGCATCATTATGGGTTATCTGAAATGTGAGGAGAGACTCCAACCAGGCTGCTTTCTGTCAGACTCCTCGTGCCAAAAGATAATTCAATCACTGGTTTCATATATATCAATGTGCTGCATTTTATAAACATATCAGTTGTTTTATGCATCTCTAAACCTGACCTGATTCAGCTCTATCAGAGCACTGCAGCATTATCAGTCTCTCTGGTTTCACTATTTAAAGGTAGGCTATGTGTTTGAGTAAAATGAACCTTTTTTTAATTTTATTCTCTAAACTACTGACAAAATGTCTCTGTTTTGGAATTCAACAGACGCTGGAATGGAATGGCTGCCATACATGTAGAGATTGAGATTCAAGAACAATGTGGAGTGGTCTCTTCGTTTTCTCCTGAGCTGTAGCTGTTAAAATAAAGTATAATAGTTCTCTCTGAAGAGTGGAATTATCATAACATGGAGAGACCTCAAAACTCTGTCCAACTTTCTAGTTTTCGTCTTAAGTTTAGGTCCACCATATTCATAAATATCCTTTTGTTGAATCCAGATAGTGTTAAGTGACACAGTCACACACTGACACTGTTTTGGTGAAACTCAACAACTTAAAATGGTGTCCACCGTGAGTTTGGAACATTACTGACTTCAGAAAGCTTAGGACTGTAAACAGGAAGCACACTCTCCAATCACAGACACACAGACAGTTAATACAGATGACAGATTCCACGTTTTACTCAGTGGCAATTTGCGTCATTCCCAGCAGAGATGTGCCAACAGAGCTGTGGTGATGTCGGGGGGGAATCCCCGGTCCTGAGTGGAGCCGCCGGGCGCGGTGCACCAGCACTGCCTTTAATAAACAACCAAGATCACTTACGCAACTATTGTGCAAATGTGTTTTCATCACCTCATAGTTTCACTGCAGCTTCATGATGCTGAGTGTTAGAGCTGCACCATTCTATATACGCCAACAAAACCCAATTCTACAGGCTTCATTATTATAATAAGATCATACATGTTGTAGCTCAGAAGTTGATAACAATATGGAAAGAAAAATAAATAGATATTGATTAAAAATAAATCTTTTGCTTGAATATTTTAAGATTTTTAATATAAATAATAATAGTTCATACATATTTTGGGATCTATAAAGCTTGAGGACCTTTTATGGAAACATTTCCCCCTCACAACTTTCCCAACATGACCTTGAACTGGGACTCTGAGAAGCTCAACCTCAGAGGCACGTATGAAGCAGTCCGGTCATGTTTGATGTTTCCTCTGTTTGATCCAGCCACACTCCATCAGGGACCAATGATGGGGTCTCACCCTTTCAAGCCCCTGACCCCCTGCTGCAGGTTCCAAACAGACCTGACATGTGAGTGCACCGTGTGTTACTTACACGTATCCCCAGGGGGACAGAGACCTGTCCTTCAGGTGTGTGGGGGGCTGCTGCGTGAACATCTCCACGGGGCAGGAGTACGAGGGGCCCAGTGGTTTCTGGTTCTGTGGGGGCTCCTGGAAGTGGCTCCTCAGCTCCCTCTCCGCTGCATCCTTCAGATCCTGTTCAGGGAGGCAGCGGTTGCTCCTCAGAGACCAGCCGGAGGCCACGAGCCCAAAGAGGAGCCCAAAGAGGAGGATCTGTGGAGGAGCACACAGCTGAAGGGACGGAGCAGGACCAGCATCTGTGTTCTACACTGAAAAAACTCAGACCTTTACTTTAATGAAATGTATTATGACAAAAAACACACACATAATTGCACTAATTCGGTTGAAAGCAATAATATTATGTTGAACTCAATATTATTGCTTTCAACTAACGTATACAATTATGTGTACGTTTTTTGACATGCAGTAATACATTTAATTAAAGTCAACATTTCAGTCTGTGCGTGTGCGTGTGTGTCTGTCTGTCTGTCTGTCTGTCTGTCTGTCTGTCTGTCTGTCTGTCTGTCTCTCTCTCTGTCTCTCTCTGTCTGTCTGTCTGTCTGTCTGTCTGTCTGTCTGTCTGTCTCTCTCTCTGTCTCTCTCTGTCTGTCTGTCTGTCTGTCTGTCTGTCTGTCTGTCTGTCTGTCTGTCTCTCACATACCTGCTTGATGTCCATCCTGTCTCTCTGTGTTCTGTGTGTCTGCTGCTGCTGCTGGATCTGCTCTGATTTACCTGCCTCCATCCTCTCACCTCAGATATTTATACCTGTGCATTCTGGGAATAACCGGCATGAGGAAATGGAAACGTTATTCAGTATGATCTACTTCCCCTTTCCTTAGTGAAAAGTATCTGGCAGGCGTGAGTCTACTCACACCATCATCTGTCATTAGTGTCACACACACACACACACACACACACACACACACACACACACACACACACACACACACACACACACACACACACACACACACACACACACACACACACACACACACACACACACACACACACACACACACACACACACACCACACACACACACACACACACACACACACACACACACACACACACACACACACACACACACACACACACACACACACACACACACACACACACACACACACACACACACACACACACACACACACACACACACCATGTATACATCACTTCAGGGTACATTACATTGACTTACATGCATTTCCTGGAGACTTATCCTAACCTTAACCATAACCAACACATGCCTAACCCTAACCCTAATCATAAACCTAACCAAGTCTTCACCCTAAAATTAATGATTCCCCTTATGGGGACCTCCAATTTGTCCCCATAAGGGAAGCCAGTCCCCACACGTGACTATGTAAACAGATTTAGGTCCCCACAAGTATAGTAATGCTAGACCACACACACACACACACACACACACACACACACACACACACACACACACACACACACACACACACACACACACACACACACACACACACACACACACACACACACACACACCACACACACACACACACACACACACACACACACACACACACACACACACACACACACACACACACACACACACACACACACACACCACACACACACACACACACACACACACACACACACACACACCACACACACACACACACACACACACACACACACACACACACACACACACACACACACACACACACACACACACACACACACACACACACACACACACACACAGGTGGGTGCAGAGTCTGATGGCACACAGGAAATATGCTGGCAAACACAAACAGTGCCCTGTTGACCTTTCCCACCTGAGCTAATAACCATAGAGCAGCTGATCGCTCTAACTTCAGCCCATCCAATCTTCCAGGCTGGTGTGTGTACAGATCTCCTTTTATCACACACCATGTATTGTGACTGTTTATAACTTCATTACATTGTTTATGTATGTGCTTGTGTTGGTTTATATCATATTTTGCATACATTCATTTAACTAAGTCTAATATCATTGTTATTTGATCTAGTTACCTCAAAAACAGCATGTATTTATTTACTGACATTTGCTGTTCAACGCATATAAATGTATTCATTTATTTATTCAGGACTCTCCGAAAAAAAAGGAATATACATTGTATTCATTTATATTATAACACTCAAAGCTAAAAGCTCAAATTGATAAAAACATTTATTTTGGTGGTTTGTTTTAGAACATTTAATGGTTTCTTACATTCAAAACAATTGAACCCTTATCATTAAATGAAGATGTTTCATTTGACCTTTATCCATGTATTAATTAATTTCTTTCAGTACACAAGAAACACTTCACTTAGTCATTTGCATGAACGCACCCACACACACTGCGTCAGAGTGTGTGTGCTGATGCAGTAATACGATGCTTGAGAATTTCCAGCAGAGTTTGTGTGAGCGGCCATTAGAGCTGCCTTTGGGGGAGATAAGGTGACAGCTATTGTTAGCCCTCCTTTGTGGTTTTTCTCTTTGTGTAAATCTTGCTGATATGAGGAGACTCCAGCTTTACAGGATTACAACACTAACACAAACACATACATCTGATGATTACATCACATCACCTCTAATGACATCACATCCTATGGTCTTAAAAATCATCAAGTTGAATATGACATCAGGGGCAATTCCATGTATAGATGTGGCATACAGTGAATGGCCACTTTATTTAACTTTTTACATTTATCTGGGGAGGGATGCAGTGGCTCAGTGGTTTAGTGCGCATATCTTTGCATCGGGGAGCACTGGTTCAATCCCCACTGCAGTCAGCATGTGGCAACAGCAATAAAGTAATTGGAATTAGCTGCACATTTACCAGCCGTAATAAACACATGAATACATAAGTAATCATAACATTATAGTACTTTTATTTTTGGTGATTTTAGTAAATGTTATGCCTTTACTTTTGCCCTTTTACTTAAAGGTGGGGTAGGTCATCTTGGAGAAACCAGCTCGAGTGCGCTAGAATTTGAAAATACACAGCCGGAACAAATCTGCCACTTCCTCACAGAGCCCCTCCTCCAACAGACGACAGTTTGTTACATTGTTTCATTTTTCAGAAGGTTCGGTTTGCATTCACAGGGCAAAACTCAAACGGACTATAAACTTGAAACATTTTCCGTCAAAGATTTTGGAAATTGGTCCATGCGCAAAGAATTGTGGGTAATTTAAGACCGCCGAGGATACACATGAGCAGCCTCGAAATGTCCTGCAAGGAAGGATTCAGTCCTCTGTAGAATTCCAAGGATCCTGGACATTGGAACAGTCCTTCGGCAGGATTCGAAGACGCCCCCTGGGTGTTTCTCAATGTCGAGGAAGGCTGCTCCAGAGCCATTATTTCAAGGATGCTACGTCATCGAGTCCCGCCGAAGGACTGTTCCAATGTCCAGCATACTTGGAATTCTACTGAGGCCGGCGTCCTTCGTTGCGGGAAATTTCGAGGCTGCAGATGTGTATCCTCCGCGGTCTTAAAATCCCCACAATGCTTTGCCCACGGACCAATTTCCAAAATCTTTGGCGGAAATCGCGCTCCATTTAGGGCGGGGCCACGCACATGACGCACACCTTTTAGCCAGTTCCACCATTCTTCGTTTTCCGAGGCTAGGGCTGCATCTCAGGTCGATTATTTTCATTTCCTCGCTCGTCGGTCTCACCGGAAGTTGATTTGTCTGCGCCATCTTGAGTACCGTCCCATGGCGCTTATTTCTGCCGGAGGACCGAGGATCGATAATGGAGGAGCGATAATGGAGGAGCGATAATGGAGGAGCGATAACCGAGGAACCACCAGACCATCCTCCGATGAAATCCTCAGACACTCGCCCCGCTCCCTTACTGTGTATCGCTCACTGATTGGACGAGGCAGTGCATGCACTGATCTGATGCTTCTTGACATGAGAGCAGTTTCCCAGCGGAGTGAAGAAAATAAATGAAACTCACGAGAGTCACTCCTTAGTTTATACTGTGTTTTGTTTCAATTCATGTTTCATTTAGTTACAAATATGTGATATATCTGAACAACAAAGTGGTCAAAAGTCATTTTATTCATTTATTGGAAACATTTTCATGATCGCTTTTTTCGTTTTACATTTCAAGAATGGCATTTATCTTTTTTGAGAATGAGTTCTTATTTTATTTAATGTATTTGGGTCTACAACAGATGATACAAATGTATATGTCAGTAAATGTGAGGCGGGGGTGTTTGTGAAAACAACGGGGACAGAGCTGTTGTCAGATGAACAGCTGTGCGGCGTCATCACAAACGGACGTCGCTTCACGTGACGCTCCGGAGGAAAGGACGTCCCATTGCTCTTAAAACTCATTTCCCTGCTTCTCGTGGTTTCCTTGCGTCTCTCCATGCTTCCCTGGTGGGAGGGACTAGTCGCAGGGAAACGACGCAAGTGAGGGAAGCAAGGATTCCATTTAATCGACCTGAGATGCAGCTTTGGAAGGATTCTTGCCTCGCTTCTGAAGGACCTGACTCGGAAGTCTTGTCCTACCAAGGAAGCGTCCTCGACATTGAGAAACACCCCAAGTGTCCCTTGCATGGTCCAAGCCCCCAGGTGTTTGTTTGTGATTAGAATGATAGAAAAACTACTGGCTCCTTTTTATGAAACTTGGTTGGAGGATGTAGAATGGGCCAAGGATAAGCCTGGATAAGCAAATCTGAATCCCAAGGTGATACACACTTTTCACCTGCCAAAGGTCTGCACTTAGCCTCTAGCTTAACTAGAGAGCCTGATGGCAAACCAAATAATGAAAACTAAGAAAAGAAAACCTAAACCCAAAACAGAATTGTAATTTGTACATATGGGATATTTTATGGTGCTGGCTGCAGGGAAACTGTGGACCTCTGTCGCCTGTCAGCGCAACTGAAATGATGACGTTTAAAAAAAGCGGGCCGGGCCGGCCGTCTGTGATTCTCCAGAACACACAGATGGCCAAGCCCCTGATACTGTTCCCTCTTGAGGGAGAGGGAACAGTATCAGGGGCGGAGATGAGATGGGAAAACCACCATGATAGAGATTATGATGAGGGAGAACGTTTCAATATTAATTTTTTAGATTAATTCATAATCTTTGGTTGAACTGATGATAACTGTGCCATCGACTGGGTGAGCTGAAAGTGTTTCCAGACATTTGGATCATGTTTCTTGAATTTAAGTGTGCAACCAGTAGCGTGGCGTGGGGAAAAATGTAGGGGAAGCCCATTTTTTGGGCGGGTGGGGGGGGGGGGGGGTGGTCAATAACGTAACCAGATGAGTGATTACAGCGCCCGGTATCATTTTACACACATTTGTATCACACAGATGCAGGACTTGCACACGCCTGTTATCTAACCGAAAGGTCCGCACGCACTCTCCAGCTGAAACTCTCTCCTTATTAATTTAAGCATTTTACTTATTAATGTATGCAGACAATCACACAATCTAGGCCTATGTGATTTTTGGATTTACCGTGCCTCTCAATTGCCCGTGACAGGTTGACAGGTCGATGAATCCTGAAGTTGCCCAAGGATTGTTCAGGGAGCACAAATCCTTGTCAAAAAGAAGACATGGCCAGCAAAATAGACGCTGAAGTTTAGCGCTTCCAGTTAGCCACTCCGTGCGGACATAATTGTCCTCATTGAACGTCCGATTCTCTCCCTTTTTCCTCTGTGTACACAGCTCGAGTGCGGGCATTGGCCTGTCATCTGATTTAATTTTCAGTTGCTGCTGTAGCGGAAGTTTAGTAAAGTTATGTTTGATTAAGTACGCCAAATCTCCACCCTCCATAATGCTTCATTTGCTTGATAATTTCTAACGGCGGTGATGACAGTTACAGTATTAAA